AAAATGTGTCAGAAGGATTGGAGTTCCTCAGAAAAACATTGAGGGAAAAGGAAAATGAGATAGAATTGATGAAAGAGAGATATGAAAATGAGAAAAGAAAAAGTGAGAGATTCCAGCAAACAGAGGAGCAGAAAGTTAGACAACTTGAATTATTCTCAGAGCGATTGAAGGATAAAGAAACTGAGTTGGAGAGTATTCAAGAAATGGCATATAAAGAACAATCAGCAAGACTTAGATTGCAGGATCAATTTGAAGACGAGAAAAGAGATGTTAAGATTTTGAGGGAAAAAATGGAAACCTTAAAGAAAGAGAAACACGAGCTGGAGACCAAATTAGAAGAAAATATATGTAATCTTAGAGAATCTGAAAAGAAAAACAATGGACTAAAGATGGATAGTGGCCATGGCACTCTGTCAGACTTCCTAGAAATAAATGCAGAATATCATCAGCCTCATGACAAGTTGTTAGGGACAGACACACTTAGAAGGGACCTTACAAGAAAGGAACAGGAAATAGAGAGGTTGAGGACCAAGACTCAGATGCTGCAGACTGAGATAGACAGATTGAACTCCACAATAAACAATTGGAAAGTAAAAACTGGCCCAACAGAGAATGAGAAATATGGAAGGCTAAATGAACAAGTGTCCGCTGTCCTTTTAGAAAAGGAGGAGAAGGACAGACTCTTTAGAGAGAAGGATGTTGAAATATATGCTCTGAAGGAGCGAGTCAAGGAACTGACTAAAGACAGGGACCGGGTCAGGACGGCTCTGGAGAAGACTGAAGCCATGCTGATTTACTATAAAGAGAGGCTGGGACAGCAGGAGCACAAGAGAGCCCGAGCAGAAGCTGATATGTCACAGGTCAGTAAGGCAAGACATCCCCAAGTTTACAATACCTTGCATGAAATACCTGTCATTATAATCACAATTAAAGAGGCAGTCGTGGCTAAATGGTTAGAATCAGACTGGTAACACAAAGGTCGAGGGTTCGATTTTCAAGACTGGCAGGAAATGACTGGCCCTTGAGCAAGGAACCTAACCCCCAATTGCTCCCTGGGCACCACAGCAAAAATAGCTGCCCACTGCTCTCTCTGTGTGTGTGTTCACTACTCACTACTGTGTGCACTAACTTGGATGGGTTAAATGCAGAGGACAAATGAAGAGTTCAGATGCAAAAGCCTCTAAGTGCCATTTGAAATTTTCTTCTAAAATGATCATTTTTATCAAGCTTGTATATTTAAGTTCAGTAATTTCACTTAAATGGCAATGAAGATTACCTATTAATTGTCATTTAAGTGAAATTACTGAACTTAAATATACAAGCTTGATAAAAATTGTCATTTTAGAAGAAAATTTCAAATGGCATTTAGAGGCTTTTGCATCTGAACTCTTCAAATTCAGAATATGGGATACTATACTTTCACTTCAACTTAATGCAGTTTAACTTAATGCAGGGGTAGGCAAGTTCGATCCTAGAGAGCCGCTGTCCTGCAGAGTTTGGCTCCAACACTGAAAAAACCTCTCTTGCCTGTAGCCTTAGTAATCCTGAAGACATTGATTAGCTTGTTGAGGTGTGTTTGATTAGGGTTGGAAATAAATTCTGCTGGACAGCGGCTCTCTAGGACCGAACTTGCCTACCCCTGACTTAATTGTACATATTTATGTAGTTGTGCTGATTAGATATAGCCTTGGAGTTCACACTGACACTTAATGGTGTAGATGCATCAAAAGCTAAAGATTTCAGTTATCAATCATAAAAATGCCATAAATAGTGTATTCTATGAGCAGATGTGTTCAACATCACTGAGTGACAGGTAGTGAGAAATATTTTCGACTATAAATGGTTACTAAAAATGCACTTTTAAATATAGATTTCTTTGATTACGCTGGTATGTACAGTAATTAAGGCCTGGTTTCACAGACAGGGCTTAGACCAGGATTAGGACATTTGTATCTTGAGACAAAACAATGGGAGTGACATATTTTAAGATAGCTGTAACATGCATTTTAGTCTGTGACTAGGCTTAAGCCTCGTCTGTGACAGGGCAAAAAGTAGTATCAGGAAATCTCAATTAAGGACAATTCTGTTTTTCATGACATGTCCCCTTTGAACACATTATTAAGTGAATTGGTAGTTTATGATTCATTTTGGCCAATATTAATAGGAGAAAGACCTTGACCCAAAGGCCCAGGACTCCATAGATGAGGTGGATACAGACTGTGCTGTGCAGGAGCGTCTGTCGGCCATGCAACGGGCCGTGGCACAACTGGAGGTGGATCACAACCTTCTGCAGAAGAAAAACAATCATCTGGAGAAGAAAATTGAGAGACTACGAACTGAGCGACAGCACCTTAGAGAGACGTTGACACAGGTACGAGCACCCCTCACAAAAGGACCATATATTATGATGTCAGCATGATTAATGTACCTACTGTATTTGGCCATCACCAGGTTGAGCTGGAGAGGGGGAAACTGAGGCATCAGCTGTCACTGTCAAAAGCTGGAGTTCTGGTATGATGGAGAGAGTACACTTACAATGCATTCAATTACAATTACTGTGTGATGGATTTTCACAAAAGGGACAATTTTTGTTAGCATTATGTATTTCTTATCAAAGTATAATTTTGTTAGCAACCAGTTTATTTTAGTATTATTTATACTATTTATTAATATTTTAAATTAGCTTTTAATTTGTAATTTTAGTTTAAGATTTTGTAATTGTGTTGTGCTTTTGCAATTTATATTATTTTAATTGACTTTTATTTCACCTTAAGTTCAGCTAATATTTTTTTGTTTATTTCAGCTCTATTTTAATTACTGAAACCTATTTTTAATAGTTTTAGTCAACAATAGAAATACTGTTATAGCAACATGATAATGCCAAACTTCTGCAATAAATTTGTTTTGAGTCATGTGTTAAGTGCCAGTGGAAAGCTTAAATAGCTAAATATCATATCATGTATAGGACCTGTCAGTTGGTAAGGACAAGGAAGAGCTGAAGCGACTCAGAGCCCAAGCTAGGGAGCTAGAAGAACAGGTTTGTCCTTAACACTTCCAACTGTTCATTAGTATTGTGGCATATCATATGGCCTTAAAATTAAGCCCAATTTTCTAGGTTCACCATCTTCGTCTCATGTTGGCTGTGGACCATCAGCAGAGGGCAGAGTTTATAGACCGCTCTCTGAAGAACAGCCAGAGTCTGATGTTCCTGAGACAGGATCTGAACGAGTCTCTTGCTGCGGTCTCTCAGCGGCCCGTCCCTTCAGTGCTGGAGTCAGAGACACAGAGGCTGGACAGGAGCATCAGAGAGGAAGAGCTCCGACTGTCTCTCAGCCAAAGCTAAAGAAATAAAACACTCCTTTATATGTGATTAGTGATGACTATTATATAGTTCATTTAACACCATACATTTTTGCACTTAACATTCAGTAATTCTGTCCATGAGCCTAAGATTTATTTTACACTCAGGATTTTACTTTTACATTTACGTATGAATTTATGTATTTTGTAAATATTTTTGTTTTAAACCATTCTAAAAATGAGCTACAAAATATCACCTTAAATGAGGCAACTATTTTAGATGGCGAATTTAATTTCAGGTGTTACATCTGTCGTTTCCTGACAGGCAGATAATTTAATAGCTAAAGCTTTATGATCAGTTTACAATACTTTTCAAAGCTATTCCGTCAGTGTTATAATGCGTGCAATATAAGCAGAATGTTTAATTCAATGTAATACTATTTTTATTATTATTATTTTTTAATAATAATATTTTTTATGATTCAGAATCTGTTTCCTCACATCTCTGATACCAAATCACAAATATAGATTAAGCACAGGGCCTTGGTGTGATTTACTGGAATGTATATAAACTGATAACCTGTATAGACTGAATGAAAGTTATTTGGGATTAACCTTCAAATGGTCTTCGCCTCCTGTTTACACTTCTGGGCTTCGGGTCTATACGACCCCAACAATTGATTGAGTAATTGTACAAAAAATATACATTTTTAATCATACAAATAATATACATTTTTGTTTTTGGAGATGTTAAGCACTTTTGTATCCATATACTACACAATTCCTCAACTACACCATTAGCTTGCATATGACATTCTATTTTTTTTATGATACATTGCATTTATGCTCTAGTACTAGGCCTTCATTTCTGTGTAAAAATTTTCAGATTTTTGCCAGATTTATTTTTATTTTTATTTTATTTTTACACATGAAGAAAATATATTTCGTTTTTTTCACATATCCCATTCATTTCAATGTGGGGTCATATTTACCCCGAAGACCAGAAGTGTAAACTTTTAAATACCTTCTTTTTTTTTTACATACTTCAGAACAACTGAATCAAACCAAGTTTTTTTTGTGTGTGTATAGATAGATAATGTATGAAAAGTTACAAAATCTTATTCCACTGAGATGAAGGGAAACTTTTTTTTATTAAGTAAAAGTCGATTGGGGTCGTATAGACCCCATGACCTGATTGAGGGCTACAGCATCTCTGCCAAATGCATAAATATAAATGTTTTCACTGTAGTTTTTACAACACGCACACCATCAAATCTGTGTGTTATGTGTGACTACTGCTCTGTCAACGTCTAAAAATCAATTACAGAGCACTTGATTTTAATGACAGAGCTCTCGTGGTCTTTTGAGGCCTTGTTGCTTCACCTCATATGAACCGTTACAGGGTGTCGGTCACCAGGGGGCGCTGTTTGTATGGAAAGATCGTCTGGCCTAACCTTGCACAACTTTGATAGGATCAACCAGACTGCAATCAAAATACAAGCAGTCCTCCCAGGCTTCAACTTTAAAATAATTACAAGTAACCTTTGCTTATAAAATGCTGTAATAGCGTGGTGTTTTGGCGAAAACTATTGTAACCATGGTAAATTTGTACGGGTGAAAGGAGAGAAAGAAAGCGAGACAATTTTGAATTGGATTGGAGAGGGAGAGGGAGAGGGAGAGGGAGGGGGGGGGATTGGAGGAGTAGGACTGGCTACCCTTCATGTGTCTGCTTTAGGCGGAGCTGAAGTTACCGAGAGCGGCCGCAGGAGCTCAACACGATCCGCGGGGCGATAATCATCCACACCGGGAGAAATGCGTTAATTTACTCGAGCAGATCCTGACCCAGCGATCAGTTTACCGACCATCATCGACTGAGTCACTGAGCTGTTTATCGAAGGCCTCTGTCGCTTTGGATCGGACTCAATGTCGCTCCTGTTCAGCCGCTTGAACCAACCGATGGGTTTGACGCGTTCTGCCCTAGATTGACTTCATTTCAGATACATTATGCATAATAAAATAAGATAAAGCCGGGAAATGTTAGGCATGTCGCCAGCTCGTGAAGCTAAACATCGACTAAAGCGGACTGACACGAAGAAACCTGACCCATATTGAGATAACGTTACTGCTCGAGCGTCTGGACCAGAACCAAATAGATCGAAACTAAATCTTGTTTATAAACGCTGATAACAACCGAGACGTGATCACAGAAATTTTGAGCCCTCTCTTAAAAAGGCTGAAGACATGCGAGGACGTGGATCACACACATTGCATGAAGTGTAGGCTAAGTTAATCGCTCGAACTCTGAACCAGCATGGAGAATATTGTGTTTATTATCTATTTATAAAAGCACACAGAAACCCAAAGGCATCTAAAATCATGCATTGCCTCCAAATCTATATCTGCATGTCTCATTTCGCACGATTCCCTCCGAGCATATGAGCTTGAACTTCGTTGGATAGAGAAGAAGGGGGAAAAGGAAATCTATTGGAACTTTTTTTTGGAGCTGAACCCATCCAGAAGCATCAGGACTATCATCAGGATGAAAGTGCGGATCCTAAACCGAACATTAGTACTGTCACTGGGGCTGTGCTCAATGCTTTTGCTCGGTGCTGTGGCTGGTAAATATGCTTCAGATCTACATTTATACTATTTAACTAATATTATGTGTATCCTTATTATAGAGTACATGTTATACAGTATGTGCATGTTCATTAAAACCACTAAGCGCTGCAGCATGGACACTAAATGTGAAGTGAACTGAATCAGTTTACTGTACAAATGTGAATTGTATGGACTGTCGTGCTTCATGTTGCTTTGCTGGTTCACTATAACTGAGTTGAGGTGCATCTTTTTTCAATATCAATGTCACTAGCTTGAACTTGAAGGGTTCCTTCAGCATGTTAGTCTAGTTAAGCTAAAGTGGATTTACTTTGAACTGGTCAACCTAAGCAGGTGCTTTTAGTGCTATAGAAAGATCAGAGCTAGACCAGATAATATTCCTGAATATTGGGAATAGGCAGAAGTTAATTGTTTATATTGAATTTGCAGTTTAGTTGTAGCTTACATTTTTCTTGCTGGTTTTGTGATAAATTAGTTTGTGCAGTCTTTACTTTAGTACTGTGGTGATGAGCTGCATTTCCTGAAAACATCGTCAGCCTATTCGTCCCGTGATGGTGTCAGATGGCAATATTATAATTCACGTTTCTGAATTATTACCTTACTAATGTACTAACACTGTAAAAAGATTCGCTGCCTTAAAATTCTAAGTACAATCAACTTGAATGTTTAAGTAGTTTCAACTTAAATGACATTAAACTGACTTTAAAAAATGACTTTATTTTAAAAACTTATTTTAATGAGTTGCAATTTAAAAACATATGTTGTCATAATTTATTGATAGTATAGACTACATTTTTTGTACAGTGTTTGGTATTTACAAAGAATGTTTTTTATTATGGGGCATGTCCTAAAATCTTGGTATTGCCATTGTATTTGTATTTTTTTTAATACTCTTGTTTTGTCTGAAATGTGTTTGCCTTTGAATGCAGCAAATGATTTGACAATTCCTGGTGGTGTCTCATGGTGAATCCTTTTTTTTTTTTTTTTTGTAGTTTGATGTCACTATAATGTTTTAGTCTATACTGAAGTGTTTTGACTATGCGTTGGTCAGTTACACAGACAGCAGAGGTGCTTTTGGGGATATTTGGATGGTTGGTTTCTTGCTCATATGTCTGTTTTAGGACCAGGACTGTTGCAAAAAAAATGTTTATGAAAATGTTGGCAATAGTGCAGGATCAAGTTAAAAATAAAGCTGTGTGTATAAATCACATAGACTGGGGATCATTATCAGAGAGTGTGTTTTGATGTCTGTTTCTTGCTTTCATATGGATCAGATCGACCATGCTGTGTGTCGGCCATTTGTGCCTGTTTACCCTGTTGTTATGTGCAGTTAGTCATCAGATCAGAAGCATGTGATTATTGTACCATTCATTGTTTTGAGACCCTTGAAAAGTCCCTACAGGAATGTGATGAATGGATATTTTTCCCTAAGCTGTACGCAAGAATTCATTCAAGCCTTTTCTCTAATTAAGCGTTACTTTTGTAGGGTAGTTTTTGTTTTATGTGAGCTAACTGCACTGTTGATAGTTGGAAATGTATTTTAGGTTCTGCCTTGACCTCGGTGAGATAACGGTCTCCGTCTCCACTTTTTAGTGTAGATTATGGAGAGGATGGAAGGAGAAGTGATTAGGGAAATATGAAAGTGTTAGTTGTGCTCTATTACACAAAGGTGCACCCAGCCATTTGTCCAGATTTATAATGTTTTACTCCTTAAGAAATTAGAACTTTTGACAAATGTTTCAAATGGTGTAAACTCATGGAGGCTGCCATGTTGAGATCACATGACCTGCAGTCATGCAATTTTAAAGAGTTCTGTGAAAAATAAAAATACCACTTTGTAAATAGATTTATCTTATAATTTATATTTAAATAAAAGATTGTTGTCTATTAGAGAATCCTGAAAAAATATGTACTATGGTTTCCATAAAAATGTTAAGCTACACAATACTGTTATCAACATTGATAGAAATGTTTAAGCAGCAAATCACCATATAATAATGATTTCTGAAGGAGTAATGATGCTGGAAATTCAGTTTTGACATCACACGAATACATTATTTATTTTAATTTGTAATAATATTTCACAACAGTATTAATGTTTTTAACTGTATTTGATCAAGGAAATGCAGCCTTGATGAGCACTGACTGCAGAAGTGACTTGACTTCTTCCAAAAAGTCTTACTTTTGAACAGTAGAATGTAAAATAAAAAAAAAAGAAATAGGCCTACAACAAAAGTCAACCAGGCTGCTCTGATAAGAAAAAGAAAAGCTTGTCAATGTTGATTTGTCGGTATGAAGTCCAAGACCACTGGAACGACTAAGAGGCAGCAAAACATAACCCAGACATTAATATGTGTAGCTTAAAGTTGAACTGAAAGCATCCTTAGATTCTCTAATATTCAAGAATTTGCATTAAAAAAAATCAAAATCACCATACATTCAGTTTCAGTTCAGTTTACCATATTCAAATACTGTAGTTTGTGCATGGTACTTCAATTGTTCCTATCATGGTGGAACGTGTCCAATATGTTGGTATTGTCATAGTACTTTGTTGTTAATGCTCTGTTTGTTTGTGTCTTTGAATGCAGCAAGCGCATCCATCCACAGAAATATCTCCTATTAATTTCCAGTCATGAAAATAACCTAATATTCCTTGAGAAATGGAGGAACTATTCTGTTTTTACAGTTACTGTGAGTCATAACTTAAGCTTTGATTTTCAATATCGTCTATGGTTGAACCCTTAGGGCGCACTAGAAATGGCTCATTCACATTTCAAATAAAGTCAATCTCTTGAACAAAAGCTTTGGCAAATTCATTTCATCTGAGTGTTATCCCCATACAAATTTTCTTTAGTTAAAGTGATCATACTAGGTCACGTAATATTCCACCATTATCTGTCCTGCAAACCCTCAGGTCCCACAAGGAATGTGATTTCAGCTTTGCGGTTGTGACTACAGAGGTAAGAGACCACACAATGGAGACGACGTGGTAATTAAAAGTGTGGTCTTGTCCAACCATGCTGGTAAACCGGTTCAGGGACTCATCGCAAGCTCATTTTAAAGCCGTTAGGAGCTGCCACAGTGATTTAGATCTGCATGGGTAGTTAGTTTCACTTGAGGGAGTTTAGTACTGCAATGTGCTGCAGTTGGGGCTGGGCCTTTCAGGAACCAGCGACAGGGCGGTTTGTCGAGCATGGAAAAGATTAAGATGAAGGGGAGGCTGTACGGTGTGTGAGAGCCATTACCCCGTCTGTGACCGCTGTGAGAGCATGAAGCTATGGATCTTTTGCCACTCTGCTAAGCCCATTAGCACTCATTACTCACATACACACACACGTGTAACATGACCATTATGGCTCTGGCGATAGTTCATACACGGTATTGGCGCTTTTCTGAGATGACGGGCCATGGTATGAGATTCTAGCTGGGCCATGAAGAAAGAGATTGTGTTCTTGATCAAGGACGTTCTGTGGAGCATCCAGGACTGTGCATCAATTTCTGGATAATGGACTGTGCACCCTGTTAGAAACACAATTAAGCCTGTGTCTTGTCTCATCTCTTGGACACAGTATCTGTACTTGCTGAGTCTGACAAACTAGCAGCTTGTGGCAGAATTTCTCAGGCTTTGCTAAATCATTTTGTATATATATATATATATATATATATATATATATATATTGCATTACATGCTTTTATCCAACGTGACTTTGACCACAATAACTTATAATACAGGAGCAAACAATGATTGCAATCATGATACTGTATATGGAAGTTGGCAGTTGATACCACTACCATTTTTTTATATACAGTACTGTTTTTTATGTTTTAAAGCAAAGTCTATGGTGACGGTCACATAAAGGCTCAAAAATACATTAAAAACAGTTATATTATAAAATATCATTACAAGTTAAAATTACTGTTTTCTATTTGGATGTTTTTTTAAATCAAATTTATTCCTGTGACGGCAAAACTGTATTTTCAGCATTATTATTCCAGGAGTGTGTCACATGATTATTCAGAAATGATTCTGTTATGGTGGTTTGCTAATCATTCAGTACCGTGTAACACGTGTCTTCAACAGGGAGTATCCGGCTGCTAATTAAATGTGACATTATTAAGTTAGCTGTTAACATACTACAGTTTAAAAGCTTTATCTAAATTTTTCATGTTATCCTACAGTACATTCAAATAAATTAAGTCAAATTAAAATATTAGTATTTTGCTCCATGCAATACTACACGAATTGGCCAGTCTTAAAGTGCAACACTTAATTTTCTACAAAATATAAAAGGAGTTCCCTACTCCTTCTCTATTTTGAAAGTTTTACCATATTATTATCTAAGTATGTGCCGCTGTTTGTTCTTAAAAGGTGGTAGGCCTACTCTGGTTTTCACATTTCTTCCTTTTTATCACACCAAAGGGGTTAACATAAAATTGCACACAGTCACGTTTATTTATATAGCGCTTTTTAACGTAAAAAAGCGCTATATAAAGCATACAGAGAAGTATTACGTTAAATCCCATTCTGTGATTACCCAAATATATGATTTCAAACGTCTGTTCTTAATATCATTTCCTTTGAGGTTTTCCATCACTTTAATTTTAGCGTTTGACATGCAAAGATTATTATCTCTGCGGAACAATAAAACGAGTGCAAATTAGCACAGACGTGACGCTCTGTGATGTTTCCTGATATTTTCTTCCGAGACACACCGTGGTCCCACCGCAGCGGTGTGTTTGTTGCCCTGTGTGTATTAGCGTCTGCGTCTGAGCTGTCGTCGGCCTTAAGGAATTTGCCCGTCTGTCTGTGGGGGAGGGCAGGAAGTAGGAGTTGGCTGTCTCAATCTATCAAGCATTTCCACGTTTTTTGATCTGTACTCTGATAGCAGTTCACTATGGGTTACCAAATGCATGTGTGCATTGTTTGTGTGTCACTGCTCGGGGCTGTATTGCATGTCATGTCAGCGTGCCGTCTGTGTTTTTTGCTGTGTGTATCCCG